ACCCCTGACCACCAAATCTAACCCTAACCCCTGACCACCAAATCTAACCCTAACCCCTGACCACCAAATCTAACCCTAACCCCTGACCACTAAATATAACATAGCACCTGAAGCTAAATCTAACCATAATCCCTAACGACTAAATCTGTGAAAAACTTTACTCATCTGGAATCATAAAATTCACCAGACTCATTGATCAGATCTTCATGTAGGCTTTGAGTCCAGCTCACAGAAGGTTTTACAATAAGTTCCTCTACCCCCCCCCCCACACACACACACACACAGACCCACTACTGTTTCTGTCCCTCCCAGACAAACCCCTAACCCTAACCTCTAACCGTAAACAACACAATTCAGGTTTTAACAATGACTGAGCTATACAAGTGTTATACAAAATTCACCATCTAGTTTTTATCTTCTCTGTGTCATCATTCAGATGCCCAAAGATCTGGAAATGTTGCTGAGAACCACCTACTTAGGAACCATTATGATGTTGGTGAGCAGAAAGATGGCAGACACAAACACAACAGACAAAGAATAGAAATCCAGATTTCTTCAAAGGTGGACAAAAACAGCTCGCTGAGCCTCAGACAGTAGAAACAGTTTACATTTGACTATGAATTTGAATAAAAGTGTAATCCATTTCACATCCTGAGTTTTAAAATCTTGTTTTCATCAGAACCCAGCTCTGGTGAACGCTCCACTGTCCCTGCAGCTCGCTGTCAACTCGCCTCCTAAAACTTCCATCAAAACATCTGGAGCAACCGTTGTCATGACAGCCATTGTCAAGGTTATGGTCCTCCCTCCAGGTCAGCCTCTGGTCCAGCTCAGCAGCATGACCATGGTACCTAACCCAGAACCATCTCACATCCTCTTCTTTTCTGAAAGTTAAACGGTAGTAAATCTAGTAGAAAGGTTTCTGACAGCACTGATACAAACTATGAGCTTTCCAGTGTTAACTGATAAATGTGTATCAATAATCAATGAACTGATTAATGTGTATCAATAATCAATGAACTGATAAATGTGTATCAATAATCAATGAACTGATTAATGTGTATCAATAATCAATGTGGACAAGTTGAAAAATATCAAATTATTGAAATCTTAGTTTTCAGGTAAAATGAAGGGTTTGTTCTAATACCAGTCAACTGAAATGCACTCAGAAATGACAGATTAAATTGATTTCAAATGATTCTTCTCTCATGGTTATCTTCATCTAAAATCATAGACAAAGAAATTGATCAATTTGAAATTTTATGACTTTACATACTGCAAACCCTTCAATGGTAAAACATTTGGAGAAATATTGAGAGGTTAGAAAGAAATAAATTAATTTGATCAAATAATATTTAATAAAAAAATTAAAACCTGTGGAGGCCTAGGGTTTGAGCAAACATGAATGAATTTAGAATATTTTTTGAATATTTTATGCTGAATTAATAAAATACTTTTAATACTCAGACACCAATTAAAGGCAACAATTTAAAGGGGGAGTGTGTGTTATGCAAAATCAACTTTTTGGAGCTTTATATCATGTTCTAATGTTATTCCCTCATCAAAAGCATACGCATGTTTGACAAAGCTACCCATGATGCAAAGCTTTTCCACAACAACTGTTAGTGGAAATATTTCCTTTGGTCAAAAGACCAGACTCATCTCAGGTTTGGTAAAATGCTTCGAAATGTGAACTTGACATGATAAAAAAGCAAACCTAATGTAGCTATGATGACAACCCAAATAAACAAACTTAATGTTGCCATGACAACACAAATTAACATTAAGTAGGAATAACAATCAGGGGCGGACTGGGGCAAATAAAGTGGCCCGGGAATTTAGTACCTGACTGGCCCATTCAAGGTCCAGGCTGACAAACGATGGAGGCAGGAACAACAAAGGTCATCTCAGGGCACTGTGTTGGTGAATTAGTAAAGTTATTAAGCTAGCAGAGCAGCAGTTAGCTCACGGGCACTGACCCTCACAGTTCCAGATGGTCATTTTTAACTTTTACCCCCCAAAAATAACATTATTATTATCTAATGTGGTATCAATGTCTTTTTCCAGCACATGAACTGTGTGAATTTAAACTATTATTGTCATTTGGATACACTGTTATTGTATATTAGACCTTAATTCAATCAATCAATCAATCAATCAATCAATAAATAAACAGAAATAAAATAAAATAAATCCAAGTGGGCAGTTATTTGTGAAACCCACAAACATTTATAATTTTTATCTTTTAGAATGCCAATGTATGATGTAAGTTTCTAAAACTGATGTTAAAACAATTTAAGCAACAGTTTTATAAAATTATCAGCTACTGAGCACAGTTTGGACCTAGTCCACACATGATAATGGTTTTATTTATTTAACAGCTAAATGCATTGTTTTCAAGTCAACTTTATTTATCTAACACATTTAAAAACAACTGCCGTTGGCCAAAGTGCTTTACATGTTACGACTAGAGGAAAAACAAAAAACAGAATACAAAGTTAAGAACAATAAAAAACAGAACAAAACTTTAAAAGTGGAAATAGCCAACTCTCATGCTGAATTGAAAGCTCTGGAAAACAGGAGTGCTTTAAGGTGAGACTTCAAAACGTCTAATATGAAGGGGCAGCTGGTTCCACAGTTTAAGAGCCACAACTGAAAAGGCCCGATCGCCTCTGTGGACCAGTCTGGACCGTGGGACAGCCAAAAGGAAATGATCACTGGGTCTAAGAGATCTGGAGGCACATAGGGCTGCAGGAGGTCAGGGCCCGTATTTATCAAACTTCTTAGAATTCCTCTTAAGAATGCTGCTAACCGTGGACTTAAGTGTAAAATAATTCTTAGTTAAAAGCTGAGAGTAAAAGTCAGTTATCAAGTGTCTCAGTCTTTAAGTGAAGTGTAGGAGTAATTCTTAA